TTTTCTTGCTCTTGAATGAATTTTCAATTCAAGATCTTGGGATACAGCAGCAGCCGGCTCGCCGCCGCGAGAGAGATTCACGCGAACGGCGCGACGATGGGGACCTCGAGCGTCCGCCTCCAAATCGCCGCGGCGGCGGAGATCACTACGACCGAGACAGGGATCGTGAACGCTCGCCGCTTCCGCCGCGTCGGAGGGAGTACAAGAGGCGACCGAGCTTGAGCCCTCCTCCGCCGTACCGAGATCGTCGGTACTCACCTCCTCCGCGCCGTTCTCCACCTTATAAGCGCAGCAGGGACGATAACGGGTATGATGGTCGCCGGGGTAGTCCTCGTGGTGGCTATGGACCTCCGGATAGAAGGTAATGGTTGATTTTAGTTAGTATAACTCAGTTTTATGGTTTGTTCTTCTCCTTTTGGTGGGTTCTTAATGAGTTGGCCTGTAATGCAAGTTTTCTCTAGTATTTTCGAGGATGATTTGGCTTGAGATTTAGGTTTTAGAGGCTAGAAGTTTGACAGGTGACGATAAAGATTAAGCGGAAAATAAAATGGAAAAAATAAGTGAAATTCGAGCTAGATATCACTAGAGTAATTCCGATGTTGTGTATTGGTGACAAGTACTAGTGAACTACTTTGAATTTTTTTCTTTCTTGTTACAGTAGTCTATGATATGGCAATTAGAACTTTGAGCATGTTTCTTGAACAAGGTTGCTTGACTGCATTTAAAGCTTGATCCTTTAAAATTTAATTTCTCTCCTTTTTTCCTGAAGATTTTCTGGAAACTTTTTACTGAAGTTATTACTATCAGAAGATGTGATATGTGATAGTAAGTTCTGTATTTGTGTTGAATATCAATTATCAAACAGCTTGTCTCAGATTTTCTTTCTCTCTCGTTGTGCCATTGTTATTTCCGCTCATTTTTTTCTTCATATTATTCTGGTTCCTAAGCATTCAAATCTTTTCTTCTGTTTCTACAGGTTTGGATATGACTATGGCGGAGGATATGACCGTGAAATGGTTGGGAGGCATGGTTACCCTGATGATAGGCCTCACGGCCGCTATATGGGTCGCTATCAAGGTATGACCCCCGATGCATGTGTTAAAAGTTGCTTGTCAGAGAGATTCAGTTCGACTCAATCTCAATCTATCTGTTTTTACGTTTTATAAGATATGTTGAAAAATCTCTATTCTTGGACTATCTCGTACAAGCCAGGCTGGTGTTGAGTTTAGGAATTATGGTTTTTATACATGCTTAGCTTATAGATCAAATATTGACTTGTTATCCTTTTGTACTGAGGTCCGATCAATTGGATCTGGGAAATGATAAGTCCGTTAATGGACAAACAAACTAAAGTATAGACTTTAATATTATCTGAACTGTTGTGTCTGTTCCCTCTTGACAGACTGGGATGGAGGCCGTGGAGGCTATGGTGATACTTCTAACAGTGGAGGGGCAAGGTTAGGATTCTGTCATGTTTCCTAACCGTGTTTGTTTTCCATTTACTTTGGTCCGGCCTCAGCTTTGTTCCTTCGTTCTATTGTTGGCCATTTGAGACGGAACATAGAAATAATTATATGCATAATAGAATTGTTCTTTTCTATAGTCTATCTCTTGATCCAGCAAGGCATATCCTAGGAATTGTAAAGTGTCCAATGATGCACAAAGGGAAATATATTGTTTGTAGGAAGGTTATTCCTGTTCAAAAAATTGGTTTTCTCTTTCTTTAGCGATTACAAAATGTTGAATGGTAAAGAGTACTGGAAAGTTAAAATAATGTGTTGGCAATACTGTTGATCACTTTATATAAGTTATTGTGCTGGAACATCCTGTCATGAAGTAATGCAATCTGAAATGATTTTTTCTATTCGTAATATTTCTTTAGAGTATGAGATACTGAGTTTTCCCTCCTCTCCGAGCTCTCTCATTTAGCCATTTAGAAATGTTGATGTTACAAAGGCTAGGAAGCTTTGGCAATCAGTGTATGCAGTTATTTTGCTAGGAGATCCTGTTTCGAGACTATGCAATGATGAAGTTTATTATTTCTGTATGAAATACTGCTGTATATTATGAGATACGCGATGTTTTTATTTTTAGTATTTACTTTTGTTGTTCTGAGTCATTGATATCACAGCAGCAGACAAATGGGAAGGAATGTAATACCCATTACTGCTGTTGAATTGCATTTAACAAATAATGCTGGCATATCACCTTTGCCCAGGGAAGGCTTGATGTCGTACAAACAGTTTATTCAGGAGTTGGAAGATGATGTGTTGCCATCTGAAGCCGAACACAGGTATTGTTGCATGCAACTTGGTTTCTTGGAGTACTGACCCTTGACTGCAAGATTCTAAGGCGAGGTGATCTTTTGATTCTTTGATGCAGATATCAAGAATATAAATCTGAGTATATCACAACACAAAAACGTGTCTTCTTTGATGCCCACAAGGAAGAAGAATGGTGCTTCCTCTATCTGTTTCCTCTTTTTTTCTCACTTTCTTCCTTGTAATTCTGCTAGCTAACCTGTTAGCATGCTTGTAATATGGTGAGCGCAGGTTGAAAGACAAATATCATCCGACAAACTTGCTCTCTGTCATTGAAAGGTGAGTTTCAGAGCCATTTACAGCAGTTAGAGCTGCATTTATTGCTTGTGTGGTATCATGCTAGTATTATCCATAAATGTCTGTATTGTTGTTCTCGAGTTGGTTCTCTTCTTGGTTTTTCTTTTTTCCGAAAGGGTTCTGATTACACCTCTTGGAAACTGTCAGGAGGAATGAACTTGCACGGAAAGTGGCGAAGGATTTCTTATTAGAATTGCAAAGCGGGACACTTGACTTGTAAGATCCTTGTCGCTGCATTCACATCCATATTTATGGGGTCACCTTAGTCTTATGATTTCCCTCTGATCTGTTACAGAGGTCCTGGAGTGACAGCATTGAATAAACCTGGGCAGACCAGTGAGCCGAACTCTGAGGATGAAGCAGATGGTGGTGGTAAAAGGAGAAGACATGCTAGAGGACCTGTGAAAGAAACTGATCCTCTTTCAGCGGCACCCAAAGCTCACTCCGTCAGTTCTGAACAAAGGAGAGTCATAGTTGACATTGAACAAGCACAAGCACTTGTTCGTAAGTTAGATTCTGAAAAAGGAATAGAGGAAAACGTTTTATCTGGCTCAGATAATGACAAAGCGGGTAGAGATAAGTTACACAGTGGTTCCAGTGGTCCAGTTGTAATCATAAGGGGTTTAACCTCTGTCAAAGGCCTAGAGGGTGTTGAATTGCTTGATACTCTTGTAACATATCTTTGGCGTGTTCATGGTGTGGATTATTATGGAACGAATGAAACGAACGAAGCTAAAGGTTTGAGGCATGTGAGAGCAGAAGGAAAGGGTTCTGATGCAAATGGGGACGAGTGGGAAAAGAAACTTGACTCGCATTGGCAGGAGAGACTGAAAGGTCAAGATCCCATGGAAGTGATGGCTGCCAAAGAGAAAATAGATGCTGCTGCTGTTGAAGTTTTAGATCCACATGTTCGAAAGATTAGGGATGAAAAGTATGGTTGGAAATATGGTTGTGGAGCCAAAGGTTGCACAAAACTGTTTCACGCCGCTGAGTTTGTGCACAAACATCTCAAGCTGAAACATCCCGAGCTTGTGATGGAGCTGACTACCAAAGTGCGGGAAGAATTGTATTTCCAGAATTATATGAAGTATGTATGGTGTTCTCTTCTATGTCCTCTTCTAGCTTTCTGGATGGATTCTAAATAATTTTTTTTATGGACTGTGTGCAGTGATCCCAATGCTCCAGGTGGACAACCAGTTATGCAGCAACCGGTACATTTCTCTGCATTAGCTCCTTCTGTTATCAAACTTTCTTACAGTGACAATTCTCAGACACCTCTGGATTTTGTTTAAATTGGGTTTGCTATGGACAAAAAGCATTACCTCTCTAGTGATTGTCAAAAAATTCTGTAGATTGCTTTATTTTACTAACTTGGATAGAATTTACCTTTGACAGAGGGACAGACCAATTAGACGTAAACCGGGCATAGGAAACCGACTAAGGGATGATCGAGGACGCAGAGACCGTGATGGACGGACTAATGGCAATGACAGATTTGATCGGTCAGACAATCCACAGTCGGGTGACAGCGAAGCTCCTGAAGGGGGAAAGCCCGATGAAGCTGAGTATGACTCTTTTGGCGGACAAGGCGTCCATGTTCCTCCCTTCTCTTCAGACATTCCTCCTCCACCAGTACTGATGCCTGTTCCCGGTGCTGGGTATGTGAAAAAATAAAATTTTCACCACATTTTCATAAAGTTAGAGAATTTACTAATCAGGGTTGTTTTTTTTTTTTTACGAATTGGGCAGCCCTCTTGGACCATTTGTCCCGGCGCCACCTGAAGTTGCAATGCAGATGTTCAGAGACCAAAACGGTCCTCCTCCTCCGTTTGAAGGTAGAGGTGGGAGGTCCGGACCTCCATTGGGTGGACCGGGACCGGCCCCTTTTCTGTTGCAACCTTCGTTTAGACAGGACCCCAGACGGTTACGCAGGTAAACTATGCCTAATCTCAACATTTCAATCTAGACGGCAGTGGTTTGTTGAATGTGTGTTTCAGTGCATACATTTTCTGAAGCTATTCTCTTTCTGTTTTTACTTTTTATAAACTATAAGAAGACGAAACAACAAACATTAGGTAAAAGATGATCTAACGTTTTTGTGTTGGAAACAAAACTCTTGAGCAGCTACCAAGATCTTGATGCGCCCGAGGAAGAAGTCACAGTTATTGATTACAGGAGCTTGTAGAGAGAGAGAGGGAGAGATTTAGAAGCTGTATTATTAGAAGGTAAAATCTCTCGTTCGAGACAGCAGAATCATATGAACTTTTGCTTACAAAGGTGATGCCTCGACGTCCACTCTGGATGTTTAGAACCTGGGGGAATGAGATCGGAAAGGCCTCACCCGGCCGCGACGCAGGACGCATTTCAGTTATTCTTGGTCGTTCCGCCCTGTCTGTAATGCCTTTTTTTCTACATTCCCTAATGTTTGTTACTGACCGAAGGGTTCGGTTTTGAACGCAGTGAGGAACTTTCATACTGAACAATTGGGAGATCTATCTATGTAGAGAGACTAGAGAGTATACATTCAAAGCCCTGCCTTTTTGGTATTCGCTATGAGTGTCGGTTTGGTATATTATGAACATTTCATTCGCACTTACCCTATTAAACGATGTGTTCGTTGGTAGAACACGTCCAAACGATTCTTTCATGGTCCCAGCACAATGAGCGCATAAACTATCTCGAATTTATATGAACTGTGTGTTATCAAAATCTTGATTCATGGATCCACAAGAGTAATGTGTTCGTATTTCAGTGAATTCATAGCTGTATCGATCTTCTCTCAGACAACCCATTTGAGCTTTTTATAACCGAACCTCTCGATTAGACGTGTCAGATCCTTCTTCTCCTCGTCACTTTCGCAGTAGAAGTTGTTCAACCAGAACAACCCTCCTGGGTTTCAGGATCCTGTCAAGATCAAACATCAACAACTCTAACTTCTCCGGCTTCCCCCCACACATCTAATCCGCTCGAGGCGTGGATGAGATCGAACACATTGTCGTGGAAAGGGAATCTATGATCATCCAAACTCGAGAACAACGGGAAAATCCCTCTTGTAGCTATGAATTCACTGAAGGAAAGTCCCCGATCCGCCGCTGATATCGAACCCAATTCGGATTTTTCCACCGCCTAGATCCAAAACATCGTTTATCGAAAAACCGTTCTTCCCCCTTACCTTAACAAGCCTAGCTTTCTCATATAGCTACTGGCAATATCCAAGCAACCTACACATTCACCGCTCAGTTTCTTGCCCTTGAAGCAATCAAAGCTCTTGCGTTGAGAAGAATCAATCTCGCGGAGGATGAGCGAGACATGCTGTGAGACGAGGGAGATGTTATCAGAGCTGTGGAGGTGCGACAACGACGAGTGGAATTTAGACTGGGAGGAGAAGGCGTAGAGAGCGAAGAGGTTGGTCGTTACGACGGAGAAGAGCATGAGGAGGTTGACAGCGGAGGAGCAGACTGTCGATCGCCCGGAATCTGAGGGTGCAGTACACAGACCCCATATTGAGAGAAGAAGAGTTTCAGCTTGAGATTACACCAGAGACTGAATCTCTGTGGATGATGAAAAAGAGAGATATATCGGTAAAGAAAATGATATTATGTACACTTGGAACCGTTGTCCACTCAAATGGTAACTTTTTACACACTTTACAATGAGAAAAACAAATAAAAACATTCAATACAAGAAATCAAAAACCAGAGCTCAAGACAGAACAAAAGAGAGTGTCCTAAAATGCTAAAACTAAGGAAGCAAAATCCAAATGAACAATTCTTGTCCTGTCTGTTTTTCCTCACAGGCATCATAGGGTTTTGTCCCATATTACATCACTTTCCGCTGCTTCTTTGCTTGTGGCTCACCCTGCAAACACATAAAGATGATCTCGACGCTCGCATGGTTACCCTGATGATAGGCCTCACGGCCGCTATATGGGTCGCTATCAAGGTATGACCCCCGATGCATGTGTTAAAAGTTGCTTGTCAGAGAGATTCAGTTCGACTCAATCTCAATCTATCTGTTTTTACGTTTTATAAGATATGTTGAAAAATCTCTATTCTTGGACTATCTCGTACAAGCCAGGCTGGTGTTGAGTTTAGGAATTATGGTTTTTATACATGCTTAGCTTATAGATCAAATATTGACTTGTTATAACTGTCGACCGCTCTTAATAAACGTTTTAGTCCTCCAACTTACGCGATCAAAATCAGAATATGTTTCCGAGAACGATCAGACAAAAGATATAGAGCTCAATGCAATAAGCACAAGATGGAGAAATGATTCTTCAGCTGTAGTTTATAGAAGGGAAGAGAGGGCGAAGGAGAATGCTTTGCTTACAACAAGAGAGAGCTGCTCGCGGATGTAAGCCATAGATCTCAACATGGCTCCTAGTGTATCCCGAGACACTTGAAACTTAACCTCTGACTCTCCTGACGTTGTCTCTGTGTCTTGAAGCTGGAGCATGGACACAAGGTTTTACAGTTGAAACTTGGTTGCTCAATTAAAGATTTAGCCATTTTTTTGACTTAGACGATGATGATCTAGGCGGACGATAAATGACCCACACACAGTCCTTGACTCCTTGATAGACTAACTAAATCTCTCTGATTTTTTTAGTGACTACCCACATGATATAACTGAAGTGATGCAACTGTCCAATTCAGCTTCAAAAAAGATTTTTAAAAAATAAAAAATAAACCCGACTGTGCTTGAAAACATTTCACTTAAATATTGGTACAATTTGGATATCTTCCTTTAATTCCAAACCAGAAAAAGTGCATTTTCCATTCCACAAAAGCCTCGGAATTCGAGTGGTTTCATTCTAAGTGAAAAGTGAAAACTATGACTATCATTTCTGTAACAAAAGCCTAAAACACGAAAACACTGGCCTAATGAACACATATATAAGCATCTTGAGTTTAAAGAGCGTACCTTCAAATTGATGACGGCCACCCTATTAGCTGGAGCCGAGAGCTGCTCGCTAATGTAAGCCATCGACCTCAACATAGGTTCAAGTGTGACTTTAGAGAGCTGAAATTTGACCTCCATTTCGGATGTCGGAAACTTGCTGTAATCATGCAGCTGAAAATATCATGAAAATGAATCTTTACCAAATCAATCAACAAATTACCAAGAAACGTTTCTTGGCTTCACAAGTGGCAAGACACATTCACATTCATAACTAACTTTGATGTTCTACACATTGAAAGCAGACATGAAATTCAAAGCACCACACGAGGTTAAAAAGTCGTCAAAATCCTCAGCACAACGATGCTTACGAATATCACCATCTTTCATTTGCAATCATCACATCAAACCCATTTTCCACAGTAACATATACTAGCAGAATCTTCCAATTCATATAATGCATACCTTCAAATTAATAACTGCAACTTTACCGCCCAGGGTTGTATTCTTACTTTCCATCACCCAAGTCATTGACTTCAGATGTGGAAGAACCGCCTGTATGAAGGTAAGTCATGGCATCACTTGATGTAAATAAAGGTAAGTCATGGCATCACTTGATGTAAATAACATTTAAAAAAATGGCGGTAAAAGGTTTCTGCTGGGTACCATATTATCGGGGGCAGCATCATCACGGTGAAGGGACACGGGGGCCATGCGGGGCAGATTCAGATCAGCAACAGATTGAGCCATGGCCCCACCATCGTTAAGATTAAATCTTCGTATCATTTCATCGTGTCGCGGCCACAACAATGGGGTTGAGTCCGCAGCGGATAGTGAGGCCTTCTTGTCGTCGCTAACAAGTCCACCAGCCTGGGAGATAGACTGTGTAACCTTGACCACATTTTTTTTGGCAGCTGCAACCTTCTTCCCACATTCTTTAAGTGCCCCTAATGCAACATTATATGTTTCCACTGCAATAGCCCCTTCCTCTGCATATTTGATGGCTTCACGGCAGAGACGGTTATAACGGCGTGTCATACTCTCATGATCATTTTCACCACAATGTTCATCGGCCCCAGCCCCACTCTTGGCATTTCTTGTCCACCGTCTCAGGATATAATGTGGAGGTAGAGTGAGTATATTCGTGACTGTAAACACCGTTAAAACATGTCTACAGAGAATACCCAAATGCTCAAACATTCGGCAGCTACAATTTGCTCTCATTTCAGGATAGTCAAATGTAACAATATAAGCTTTATTGTCATTCTCAAATTTTGCAACTCTGAATGTGCTGGTAGTTCCATTACCATCGATTCTATTAGCAGTATAAGCAAATGTCTCGACCAACTCTTCCTGAAATTTTGCAAAAATCGTCCGTGTATAGAGATTTGCTGCCTGATTTTCCATAGGTGACGGTGTCTTCAAGACCGGGGGGCTGTTGATTGTGTCAAGATCTGCTTCAATCTCCCTCTCAAACCAACTCTCCATAGCTCTTTCATATTGCCTAAAGAACATCGGTAATGTTGTCTGTTGATGCACATACCCATCAAAAAAGGAACCAGGATAACCTTGGGCAGGAGATACTGCAGCGAAAAAGGAATCCCGGAAGTAAACAGGAACCCATTGAGCTCGAGCATTATATATAGAATTCAGCCATTCATGTCTTCCAAGGTCATACTTTTGAATGATGGAGGTCCAGGATAATTCAAACTCTTCTATAGTTTCAGTGAAATTGATACAGTTATATAGTTCTACCTGAAAACTAGGATAAGCAAGACAAGCATGAGCTAGCTTTTCCTGTCCTTCTCTTAGCACATCCCATTTATTAATACAGTGACGAGTTTCTGGAAACACCTGAGCAACAGCAATCTGTATAGCCCTGTCTTGATCAGTTACCAAAGAGACGGGTTGCCGATCATTCATAGCCGTGAGAAAGGTCTTAAGCAGCCAGGTGAACGAAGCCTCTGTCTCATCCAACATTAATGCACATCCAAATAGAATCATCTGGCCATGATGATTCACCCCGGTCAAGGGGGTAAAAGGAACCCTAAACTGATTGTACCTGTACCTTGTATCCAGGTTGACTGCATCACCAAAGTGACCATAAGCAGTTCTCGATCTTGAATCAGCCCAGAAAACATTAGTCATCTGACCATCTTCATCAAGCTGCATTGCGTAGAAAAAGCCAGGGTTTTCAGCCTGCATCCTCTTAAAATATTCCAAAAGATTATGTGCATCCCGCCCTAGTGTTCTCTTTCTGTTCGTAGGCATCACCCTATAGTTCATTGGTCCCATGTTCTTAGTTGAATCTCTGTGACTGTTTCTAGCTCCTCTACTATTTGATTCCAGCGAAGTACGATTTCCATCCATAGAAACATACATCGTACCAGTAGGAACATTAGCTGTCCCCTGAAAGCTCTCGGGCATACATTTCTCCGAATTGGCGAAATGCCTACGAGGACGAAGACAGTGAAGTGTGTTGGGACTCATCAACCCGTGGGAATGCTCTTTGACAAATTTTGTGACAACCCATTTATCCTGACCCTTCATTTCTATCCTAATCATCGCATCACAGCTCTCTGCAGGCCTTTTCTTCGACCCTTTGCTACTACTACATACAAATTCCCGAGAATTCATCGACCCATCAGTTTTAGAACCGGGTTTAGAAGTGAAACCTACACGTCTAGCATACACGTCATACAAAGACTTTGCAGCACTTTCAGAATCGAATTCCATTCCAAGACAAGGCTCCACAATTCCATCCTCATCCCGAACTCCCGATGAATTCTCGACATTAGTAGGTTCACCACTATCACTAGGTTCAGCATCTCCATCATCTCCAACCCCATGATGTTCCATTTCCAGCGTCTCATCAACCAAATGATCATCCATTATATGGTCCACTCTATATCTACGTCAAAGAAAGCTTCCCTATTTCACACTCTGATTCCAGAAACTGCTCTCTCCATCTTCACACACTGTCAAGTGGAAATCTCACAATATGTCAACCAAAGCATAAAACTTTCAATCTTTATATCACAAGCTTACTAAAACAACATAAACGTAGATTTTGAGATTTGGGTATCAAGAGAATCGTACACAAAACATAAACATACATACATATGCGCAAAGTACGTATATGTCAATGTCCCCGAAGAAAATACACGTGAAAGAATACATCTCCAATTTCATGATTCTCTGTCAATTAGTTCTGCAACTAAACTAGCGTAGCAAATCTACCAGGCAACGAAGAAAGCTCCGACATACCTTGAAAGCGCCGAAGAAAATCGAGACCAGAAGACGCTTCTGATAGAACAACAAGAGAGAACCAAAAAATAACAAAACCAGAATCCCGGTCGGTGCTAATCTCCGGCGATAATCTTGTCCAGGCGAAGAGAGTTCCGGGCGAGGAAAAGGATTGGAAAAAAAAAGCCCTAACTTTTGGTAGGGAACAACAAAGACGGGCATTTTTTCATTATCGTGGTAATTGGAAAATAATATTATTTGCTTATTAATTTATTCCAAATAAAGACACGTTGGGCCACCACCACTATACCAAACCAAACTGAAACCATCCGTCACCAATATTCATGTTATAAAATTTCTTACATCATTTAAAAAAAAAAATACCAAAATTTTGGATATCCATATAATAAACTTTCTATTATAACAAAAATCAACTTCAAAATTAATTTAGAGGGTTTGGTATCGTCGTCACTTAACCAAAAAGTTAATTTCAAAGATTTAAATTCTATCTAAAAATAAAGCAATCCTCGTCTGAATATGCAACACTTAAAAATATTGATTTATAGTTATTGAGAATATCTCGTGGTTAATAAAAAAAAGTGGATAAAGATGAGAATGAGATATTTAGGGTAAAATAATTGAAATAAGAGTAAAAGTAGGTAAAAAAGGTAAAACGAGGTCATGAGAATTAGATCGAAATCGTAAAGATAAATAAGATGGAGAAAGACAAAGATATCGGATGGGGATCACTCAAAGTAGGGTGTAAAATGGTCGGTCCAGATCGGATTCGGGTCAGGTTTAGTTCGGACTTAGATTTTTTTAGATTGGGTCGGCCAATCTATTTATTTTTCGGACCTATGATCGGTGATCTGAAGTCCGACCCTATAGGGTTTCGGATGGGTTCAGACCGGATTTAACATTTTTTCTATTTAATAAAAAAGAAAATATTAATATATAATAATAATAACAATAATGTTGAGTTATTTAGAAATTTTATAAAAAAAAAATCAGTAATAGCAAATTTCCGTTAGTATCAATTATAATTAAAAAATTTAAAATCTAAAAAATAATCATATAAATTTTAAAATATATAAATTATATCATATTTTTAATATATAATATATGAAAAAGATATTTGCTACAATAAAAAATATAGAAAAATATTAAAATAAAACTTAAAAATCAAAGTTAAACTCATAAAATATTTATATATATATATAAATTAAATCAAAATTTAATCAAACCGTTCAATAATATATATATATATATATATAATAATATATAATTTTAATATATATATATATATGAAACATATAAATAAAAGTTTTTATATAATATTGTGTGAAATCAGACCTTGAGTGAAAGTAGAAATATAATAATATAATATTTTTTCGGGCTAAATGGGCGAATCGGACGAGTTTCGAACTGGACTCGATTCGGTCTTGAATTTTTTCGGGTTAGATCGGTCCGCTCATTTATTTATCAAGTCTATATTATTAGGTCCAAACCCTTAATTTTTCGGACGAGTTTGGACTGATTTTCGGGCTTTGGATTCTATTGACATCTCTAACTCAAAGATGCATAAAACCCTAAAATTTATAAATCAGTAACAATCGGATACCAATTAAAAACCTTAAAATTTCTAAATTAGTTCATTGGGTTATACTTTTTTGGAGAATATCTCGCAATAAATCATGAACTTTGAAAAAAAAATCTAAATAAATAAATAAACTTTTTCATTTTTAAATAAATACACCAACTTTTATCAAAATTGATATATTCTCATGTCGTAATAGAATCTAGGGTGGACATTCGATTTAATTTGGTTATTAACCGAATCGAACCGAATAAAATATTTCGGTTATTAACCAAATCGAATCAAATAACCGATTGGTTATGATTTTTCAAAACCCGAAATAATTGAATCCGAACCGAACCGAATCGACTAAAAATTATTAACCGTTTGGTTATAAATTTTTATAAACCAAATTAACCGAACCCGAACCAAACCAAACCGAACCGTTTATATATCTTCATTTATATATATTTATATATATGAATATTTATATTCTTGATTTAATCATTGTTTTATTATATTTTAAACGTATTTTATCATTGTTATTATTGTTTTTAAAATTTATGTGATATAAACATTAGAAAAAAATTATCTTTATTTATTTAATAATTTTATATCAAAATATGAATTTAAATATTATTATTTTATATGTTTAAATAATTATGATAATATTTTATATTATATTTTATTTGAATATTTTTAATTATAAATGAATTGATTTTTAAAATATTATAACTGAATCGAAATCATACCGAACCGAATATTTATTTGGTAATAGTTTTAAAAAAATAAAACCGAATCGAACCGAACTGAATAAAATCAATTAACCGTTTGATTATAAATTTTAATAACCCAAAATAACCGTAATCGATTAACCTGTAATCGATCGTTGGCCAATCCTTAATAGAATATGTTAACTAAGTCAATACCATGTCAATGCCATGTAGGGGTGGGCGTTTCGGGAAACGGTTCGGGTTCGGGACGGAATGGACCGGTTCGGTTCTTTCGGTTTTATAAAAATAGGTACCAATCGGGTTTTTTATTGTATTCGGTTCGGTTCGGTTTCGGTATCGGTTCGGTTCGGTTCCGGGTTTTATTAAAAAAATGTTAGATTTCCTTTAGAAATATTCGGTTTTTCGGGATTTTTAAAATTCGGTTCGGTTCGGTTCGGTTCCGGGAAAATTCGGTTCTTTAAAAATGGTACCGTTCGGGAAATAACAACGGTTTCAGGTCGGGAAAATACCGTTTTAACGGTTCAGTTCGGTCCGGTTCCGAAGAACCGAACCGAAACGCCCAGCCCTAATGCCATGTGTGCAAATATGCTACCGTAGAACAATTAAATTATATATATAGATATAGATATATACAAACATACACACATACATATACATGTATGAATGTGTATATACGTATATATATATATATTTCTATTTTTTTTTTTGGGGGGAACTGAAGCTGATCGAAGGCGAGGGGGCATGACGGGGCAGAATCTTTGTCTCCGGCCGGCGGAGACGCCCGGCGGATGGTGGATTTTGCGACGATAGATATTTAGGCTAGAGAGAAACCCAACGGCTAGTTTTCTAAGGATTTTTCCATTTCACAAAGTCAATCAAGCCATATATTTCTAAATTTTGTCGATATAGACTGCCTCATACGACATATTCGCATAGCAGTGATTGGAAACTAACACGTGTACTAATATGATCACGACAGCACTCTATATCAGATTGAAATGGCCTATAATTTTATTGAAATTCGAGTAAACCGAACGGATTTTATCACCATCCGATCCATAGTTAATTTCGAATTCGAAAGCGGATCCGTTCGTTGGCTTGTAAATTAAAGCCCAAAAAGAGCGCAGAAGTTCCCTCAAATAGAATGCTTAGTAAAAAAAAAAAATTACAAATACCGCATCATAAGAAGTTTGAGAAACATAAGAAATTTCTATGATCCGACAGCACAAAAAAAAAAACATGAATAGACCTTTTTTTTTTCTTTCTTTCACAAAAACATGAGGCTCTCAACATGATCCAAGAAGGTGAAGGTTGCACGACCGTACTTGGGTCCTCTAAACTCAGTCTTTCCAGAATGTTCCTCTCTGGATTGCAGTGTATCACGTAATACCGTTCCGACCGGGTGAAGTATGGGGCCAGAACGATACCCCCGGAATCCGTGAACCTCGCGTCGAAAAGCTCGTCTCCTCCCGGGACTAAATCTCTCCATGAATGTGGCATGACATACAACTTGTTCGACCATTCATTCTTTTCGGTATCCTCTAGAACGAACAAGCGAAGAAACCCACGTCGGATCGGTCCGTAAACGGCTAATTTCCCTCTGTAATCTGTAAGCCTCGAAGGAAGATGATGGTTCGGTGCGTTGATAAAGCTGAACTTCTCTGTCTTAACGTCAAATCTAACTAAGGTAATACCCACGTGCTTAATATAAGCTCGGTAGAACAAAACCCCATTGATGCATGTCCCGGGACTGTCGGGAAAATGAAAACGACCGCCTTCGATCTTTCTCCATTGCAGTCGATCTTCGCCCAGTGTCAAAATCCTAATCTCTTGAAAGCTGCACGTTCCTGATCTGTAGCTTAGGCGTGTCTCTATCGACAATACTTTGTAGTGATCCTCGATCGGATCGTATCCCAGATAGCAATACCGGTCGTTTTCTTCTGGTCTTAGATTGGGTGTTGTTACGGGCAAGGTCACGGCCTTTCTCAAGCTAGGGTTTAGAATAACAGGACTGGAACTACATTTCAGACAGATCAAGCCGCGAACCGAGTGAAACATACTGAAAGTACGACGTTTCATATATCCGTGATAGGCTAAAGAAGGGGATTCCTCATTGTCCGAAATCGGAAACGAGAAGAAGGAGTACCTACGATCGCGGTGGGTGTCCGACAAAGCCAAGAGGATACTGGGACGAGTCGATGACCGAGTCACGAACGAGTTGTGGAAATCCCGACTGCGAATCGTGGATGCCCATGTCTTCGACACGCAGACAAACCTCGCTAGGGATTTCGCCGGCAATCTCGCGAGAATCTCTGTCACGAGATCATGAGGAATCTGATCTGAGATTTTTGGGACAGTTATTTCGCCGGAGCTTGAACCGCTCATCTTCCTCCTTTTTCTTCTTTCGCCGCTGTTAATGTCAACCCTAAACCCTAATTAATTCACCACTTTTTTCTTTTCACCCATGCAAATATATTCACTCGCGTATATATATGTGCGCGTGTATTTTGTCAAAAAAAAAATCTGATGGCTTAAGTTATATCTCACAAGATTTTAATCAACTATGGAAAGCTTTAGATTAATTTTCACTTATGCTTGGGATAAGTTTCGCAATAAATTTCATAATTTAAAATAACCGTTTCTCATGGCTATCTATAATATTTAATTTAATTATTTTAGATATCAAATAATTTGAATATATGATGTAATTAGTGCAGTTAGTACATATCAAAATTGTAATTTTAATATTCGTAAACAAATTTTTAAAAAAATCACATATGCTCCATTCCATGAAATTGTTAATTACACACACACATATATATATATATATATAGAAAGGTAAGATATAATTATATCATAAGGTTAATTGGTTACAAATAGAATTGTAATTATTATTTAATTGTAGGAATTTTTAGAACATGTGTTTGGAAGGACTTTATGTGACATTGCTCGTTTGACCGAGTGTGATGATGATGCATTTGGTTGGGAATAGAAGGATGGGTCCGATTATCAAGATATTGGAATCGAGAGAGATTCAAATATTTGATTAAGAAAAATAAAATAAAAAGAGTTGGTTATTAGATTTAATTAAGGAAATTGAGAAGATTTAGAAGACTAAGAGATCAGATTAAGATCTATGAGAGATAAGACCAAAAAAAAAAAAAAAAGAGAATTCTTATCAACTAAAGAGATGACGAAACAAAACTAATTTGCAAAGTCATTAATTGGTAAATGATATATTAGCAAAACAATTCGGGGATTCGGAAATATTAGTGTAAATTTGAGAGACTGAATTGGTGATTGTCAAATTTAGGATTGGAGTCGGGTATTTGATAATGAAATTCCACTAAATAAACACAGTATTTGTATTAGGATAAATTATTAGTATTTATATATCTATTTTTTAAATATATATATATAGCATGAAAAATGATAAATTGTTAGTATCTATATATCTATTATATATGTAGCGTTAAAAATACTTATTCTATACACACACGTACGTATACGTCTTTTGTATATACAATCACTTCTTCTAATCTATTACAACATAGAAATGCAAAACGGGGTGGTTCAATCTATCTCGACCCAAACCGGTTCGACCAATCTCTTTTGGGCTCGGTTTGAGTCGTTTGACTGTGGTTCATTTTTTTTTATAAGATAGAGCATAACTCTGATACGGTCCAATTCATCTCAACTTAGGAACCGGTTCAATAGACGAACAAAAAATAAAAATAAAAATTTATAAACAATATTAAACAAATAATAAAAATTAATATTTTTTGGGAAAAAATTCTGACCGGTGGACCATTTGAATCGGTTGCCGAGGAGCTCGATTCGTGACGAACTGCCTCGGCGGACCTGTGTTTTCGGTTAATCTTATTAATATAGAATGGGTGAATTGTGTACATAGCTTTTTTTTTAATGATTGTATGAATCAACAAAACACTAGGAATTTGATCTTAGCGCCTTTGATTTCTTCAAATTCAAGATAATCAATAAACAATGTTTCATAAATTTTGTTCATTAATTATGAAAATCTACGATCATAAACAAAAGTTCGAAGACTCCAACCGAACAGAAGCAAATGAAATACTTAGTAAACAAACATAAATCTCTTTGAATGAAAAATCCAACTTGGATAGTTCAATAGACGTGAAATGGAGATGCAAAGCGTTTGTTAGGAATATATAATCCAAATGACATGGTTGGTTCTCGGCCTCGAAATTAGTCTGAACCTTGATTCAAAATAACTGATTACTATAAAAAAAATCTATTCGAATAAAAACATTAACTCATTCCCTCCACCTTTGACTATATATATAAAAAATTTGATATATCAACTGACGAGATTCATCAAACACTTTGAAATATCTTAAAAGAAACGAAGAAAGAGTGAAGAGAAGGGGCATTACCGATCACGACTAACCATGAATAAACGCCTTCTTACAGAAACATGAGGCTCTCCACATGATCTGTGAAGACGGAGATTCCACAACGGTAGTTACATTCTTTACAAGGCAGAGCATCTTCTATGTCAACCCTTTTGATGCTGATCCTCTCTGGATTGCAGTACAGAACATAGGCTGGTGATTTATGCCCGAAGAAATGCGGAATCACAATGATATCTCCAGAATCCCTGATCTTCACATTGAAAAGCCTGTCTCTTTCCGGGAGAAAATCTCTCCATGAATGTGGCAAAGCAAACGTCTTACACGACCATTCATGTTTCTCGGCATCCTCAAGAACTAATAAACTGATTCCGTCTATCATTGCTCCACAAAGGGCCAGTTTTCCTTTGTAATCTGTCAAACACCGATAATGAATGCCAACACCATCATTTGGTGCGGTGATGAAGTTGATCCTCTCTGACTTTACGTCAAAGCTGACTATCACACGAACATCGCCAAAACGAGTCCCATAGAACAAAACCCCATTGATGCATCTCCCAGCGATCGTAGGAACGTGGGAAGAGACACCTTCGATCCTTCTCCACTCTCTGTCTCCCAATGTCAAAACCCTAATGTCGTGAGATGCGTTCTGTGCTGTACGGTGAAATGCAGGCCTCCTTAATAACAGTACTTTGTAGTTATCCTCAACTGGATCGTACCCTAGAAAGCAAACCTCGTCTTCTATGTTTGGATTGGACTGTGTTTCGGGCAAGGTCCGAAATTGGTTTAAGCTAGGGTTACAAATTACAGGGCCGGATTCAGTTTCCAGACAGATCAAGCCACGCACAGAGTGATACGTAGTGGTGTAGGGATCTCCTGAGTTAATTACTCCGAGTTGGACTAAACGGCAGGATTCCGCATCGTCCGGATTCAGCCGGTGAGGGAACGAGAAGAAGTAGAACTTACGAAAGTATGAGACGTTCAAGTCCACCATGGCCAATAGAGTGGGGCGAGTCGATGACCGAGTAACGAACGAGTTGGCAAAATCTCGACTGCGAATCGTGGATGCCCATGTCTTCGACACGCAGAGAAACCTCGCTAGGGATTTCGCCGGCAATCTCAGGAGAATCTCTGTCATGAGATCATGAGGAATCTGATCTGTGATTCTTCGAAGAGTTAGTTCGCCGGAGGCTGATCCGCTCATCTTCTTCCTTTTCGAGTCTTTCCGCCGTGAATGTCAACCCTAATTCCTAATTCACCACTTTTTTCTTTTCACCCATGCAATATAAATATATATATATATATATATATTATATTCGTGTGCAGGGCGGTCTAGCATGTGCAAGGAAGGTTACTTTTATAAAAGTAAATTTTAAGTTATGATATATAATTATTAAAATTATAATTATGGTGAATAATAACGGATAACATTTTAATTGTTATTCTTTAACTCTATACCTTTTATTAAATAAATTAAAAAATCTATTTAAAACAATTAAAAATATATAATAGAATTGTTACACATGAAAATTTATAAAAACTCATATTTACTAAAAAATTATTTAAAAAATAAATTATAATTATAAAAATGAAATACTATTCATAATTACATATATAATTATAAATTATCTATTTTTTAAAAGAAAAGGCATTATTATTATTAAACAATTATTTTTTCTTTTTAGATTATAATTATTTATACTAATATTGAATATTATTCATAATAAAATTATATTTTAAAGTTTTAAATTTCATATTTTGTAATAAAATTAAATATTTTTATTTTGGAAACGGCCCAAATATTTTTGAGACGTCTCTGTGTGCCTCGTAAAAACAAAATAACAATCCAACGGCTTATGTTACATCTCACAAGATTTTTATCATAATAATACATGTTCGTATATTACATAATTACATTTGATATTTGTCGATGCATTTTAAAACGCATTGATCCATTTGCAACAGATGTTTTTTTCACGAAATCGTCAAATTTATTATTATTATTATTATTACATAAACAAGCAATATTGTGGCAATACATGTATCACCCTTCAAAGGAACACCAAAGCCTTTTGCCGGCAAATATCCCAAGAGAAAACACCACCATTGATGCAGCGACAACCAGACCCACCGATATCGCTCTCTTCTTATTCTTCATCTCTCTCAGATACCCTCGAAGAATTTGAGTCCCTTCGTACGTTTTCTCCTTCTCCTTCACCTTCTCGTCGTCTCTAGATCCTTCTTCCCTCTCGGTCCCACTTTCTTTCTCTGACGGTTTCTCCATTGCAGGTTTTGGCATAGGAACCTTCTCTGAAGTTTCTTCTTTCAGACCCGCTTTCTCCGTCAGAGGTTTCGGCCGCTCTTGGATCTTGTCGGTTTCCTTCTTATTCTTCATCTCTCTCAGATACCCTCGAAGAATTTGAGTCCCTTCGTACGTTTTCTCCTTCTCCTTCACCTTCTCGTCGTCTCTAGATCCTTCTTCCCTCTCGGTCCCACTTTCTTTCTCTGACGGTTTCTCCATTGCAGGTTTTGGCATAGGAACCTTCTCTGAAGTTTCTTCTTTCAGACCCGCTTTCTCCGTCAGAGGTTTCGGCCGCTCTTGGACCTTTTCGGTTTCCTTCCCTTTAGCCTTAGGCAGCTGCTGCTGCTGCTGCACCGGTGGCTTGGGACCCTCCTGATGAACCGGAGGCTTTGAAGCTGATCCGTCTCGCCCAGAGGACAATTGCTTGTCCTTTGGCTCGGATCTCGGGAGCTTCAAGACGAGATTTACGCCTTCAAACTTGGCGGAAATGGCATCCACGTCGACGTTTGGCTGAACCGGAAACTCTTTCCGGAATCGGATCCATTTGTTGCCCCCTGCATGTCGCTCTCCCATCACTCTCAGCTTCCTTGTCGAAGTTACTTGCACCTTAAGTTGTTCTTTCTTAAACCCTGCTTTTTTTATATGAACCGGTACAAAACCAAAACCAGGTTAACAGGATGAACCAACTATACCGATTTAATTTCGGTCACCTAACCGACCAAATTTTCAGTTGTTGTCAAATTAACTACTCAAACTAGCTGAATATCTCGTCGATTTGATGAAAACCGAAATAAACCAAATTGTACCGGACAAAAAACGAAAAAGGAAATGATTCGGTTAACATAAACCGAAATTGAAATTGATTGATGCACAAACCTGGAAGATAAACAGTGAGATTTTCGAATCCAGGCTCTGGAGTCCACCGTGCCATGGGCTCAAATTCGTCGTAGACACGATCACTCGAGACATTGAATTTTTTCTCCATCGATTTGTTTTCTTCTTCTTCTATATGCCTTTCTTTCTTTTCTTGCTCTTGAATGAAATTTCAATTCAAGATCTTGGGATATGCGGTGATAAGCTTCATCGTCCATTTTCTTTATATACAATGCATTAAACGATTTGATAAATTGTTTTCCTTGAGATTTGGTTATACCTTTTCTTTGCCTAATGTGTTGGGTCCTTAAGGGTTTAGGTTTCTGCTTTGTTCTTCCCTCTCTTTTGTCTCTTCTTAAGCTTTTCAATTTTTTAAAATTAAAAACAATGGACAAAAGGGACAAATGCTTTGCTTTGTAAGATTTCTTCTTGAGATTCCTCTGTAAACATGACAATTTGTTATTAACAAATATAAGTTTTTTAGGGATAATAAGTTAATAACCTAAAAAATCATAAACTTTTAAAAAAGTTATTATAAAATTTATGAATCTTATCATATTACGGCAAAATTCATAAGTTCATAATTTTATATGGAAATTATTTTGTGTGGTGAATCTATCAATTAAAAAAGTCAATTATTTTACATTTTTTCCGCGTATAAAACTAAAACCTTACAAACTGAAATTTAAATTCTAGTAAACAGACAAAATATTTTTCATAAGATTCGGCTTAGGTTTCCTCAGAAATATATAAAAGTTGAAGAGGAATATGTGAAATATTATTGGAGCGAGATTTGTAATTTTTTTGGAAAAAAAAAAAGAAGAAATGACCTTTGTATAATTTTCCTAACAAATTCTCGTTCTCCGGAAAAAAGTATTAAGAGATATGGAGAAGATTTAAGAAGATTACATAACATTTAGATTTGATTTTATTTCTATATTTTTTATATTTATATTGATTAAATAAAATATGTTGTGATTCTATTTTCTACCTATAAATATTGTAATTCTCTATGTTGAATAATGAGAAATCCAAACGATTCTCCATCTATTTCTCTATTAGAAAGAACAATGATTCTTCAACGACCCTTTACTCTAGTGGCCCTTTTGGATTTTACTCATTGTTAAATATTATTCTGAAGCTGAAATATTTAACGTTTGAGAATATTGCATTTGATTTACATTTGTCTCCAATGATATATACACGCTAGCTTGGCTACAATTTAGGAATCTCGGGATTTGCTTCCTATGACTGATTCTCCGTAATATGCCCCCGCAAGATGGACGGGGTAGAAAGTCCAATCTTGAGCCGGTAGTTGTCGAACTTGAGCCGAGAGAGTGGTTTCGTTAGGGTGTCCACAAGTTGATCCGCCGCCGATATGTGTGATACCCGAAGCTTCTTGGCTTCCACAAGACTGCGTATGTAGTGGTAGTGAATAGCCACGTGCTTCATTCGTGAGTGAAAGACATGATTAGCCGATAAATACGTAGCTCCGACATTGTCGCAATATATAACTGGAGTTGTATAGATAGGTATCCGTAGTTCCGATAGAAGTGAAGTAACCCACTCTACTTCCGATGCCGTGGAAGAAACCGATTTGTATTCGGCTTCCGTCGAGGATTTGGCTGCAAATTTTTGTTTCTTGGACGACCAAGATATCGGATGGCTGCCTAAGTAAACAATGTATGCACCTGTGGAACTAAAATCATCCCGATCGCCTCCCCAATCCGAGTCAAAGTAAGCGTGTAGAGACATGGTGTTTGCCCGAGAATAAAAAACACCAAGGGAGCGTGATCCTGCAAGATACCGAAGGACACGTTTTACCGCTGTCCAGTGCTCCGTTGTTGGTCGATGCATATAGCGAGATAGCTTGTTGACGGCGTAGGCAATGTCGGGACGTGTGAACATGAGGTATTGCAGGCTTCCGATTACCTGCCGGTAAGAAGAAGGATCTTCTAAGGCCGTCCCCGAGCGGAGCGAGAGCTTGTCGGCCGAAGACATAGGTGTTGTTACGGGCTTGGCATCCTGCATCATATGGCAAGTGAGAAGATCCGTAACATACCTTTCTTGAGTTAGAAGCATTCCTTTCGGAGTGTTGGTTACTTCAACGCCAAGAAAGTATGAAAGAGTCCCAAGGTCTTTCAGTGAGAATCGGGATGTCAATTTGTCGATATACTTGCGGACTATCGTCGGTTGATTGCCGGTGATGATGATATCATCAACATACACGAGCAAATAGATGGAGACATCACCATGGTGAAGGATGAAAAGAGACGTGTCCGAGAGGGCATTGGTGAAACCCGATTGAAGAAGGAATGTGCACAACTCTTTATACCATGCTTGTGGTGCTTGTTTCAAACCATATATCGCTTTGTGTAGCTTGCATACATGTGTAGGATTGTCTTGATCAACAAAGCCATGCGGTTGAGTCATATAAACGTCTTCGGTGAGAGAGCCTTGCAAAAATGCGTTGTTGATATCAAGTTGGCGGAGAGTCCAACCACGGGAGATAGCAATGCTTAGAACCACCCGAATAGTTGTTGGTTTCACCACGGGACTGAACGTTTCGGTGTAGTCGACGCCGGGTCGTTGATGAAAACCCTTTGCCACTAGCCGAGCTTTATACCTGTCAATCGAACCATCTGAAAGTCGTTTAGTACGAAAAACCCATTTATTACCAACAACATTGTAGGTCGGATGTGGAGGGACCAATCGCCAAGTTCCGTTTCGGAGCAATGCGTTGAACTCATAATTCATTGCATGACGCCACTTCGGATCCTTTAGCGCTTTTGTCACACATGTAGGTTCTACATCACTTTGGTTTCGGTGGGAGACGGTGAGGGTTAGTTTCGTCGACGGTTTGGATATGTTATTTTTGGCTCGGGTTGTCATGGGGTGTATATTTCGGGTTGTTGGCTCGGTCTGTGGGGAAGGGTTTTCGGTGACAGAAGGTTGCTATGGTTCGGTGTTTAACGGTGGCTCGGGAAGATCATGTGGGAGAGGTGATGAGGTTTGCGGAGGGCTGGCATCGGTTTCAGCTGAATGAGAAGGCGGGGATGAGGTATCCAACGAAGATCCCATGTTCTGATCCGGCAAAGGAGTCATCAACCGAGGAGCTGTCGGAGCTGGAGACGTGTACGTTGGCCGAAAAGGAACAAGGGACGGACGAGACTCAACCAAGGGAAGAGGATCGGAAGATGGTATTGGATTTTGGGCAGACACATGAGCTGAAAAAGGGTATATGTTTTCGACAAAGTTGACATGGCGAGACACATACAGACGTTTAGAAGGGACATGAAGACACAAGTAAGCACTTTGAGTGAGTGAGTATCCAACAAAGACACACGGAGTGGAACGGGTATCTAGTTTGTGTCGGGAATATGGACGTAACCATGGATAACAAAGGCAACCAAAAGAACGTAGTTTGTGATAATTGGGGAGAGAATCGAAGAGAGCTTCAAATGGAGATCGATAGGATAAAATATCGGTTGGTAAGCGATTTATGAGGTAAACCGCAGTGGGAAAGGCGTAGGTCCAATATTCCCGTGGAATAGAAGAGTGCGATAGCAAAGAAAGACTCGTTTCCACGATATGGCGATGTTTCCTTTCGGAAATCCCATTGTGTTCCGGTGTATGAGGCGGCGTTGTGAAGTGTGAGATACCATGGCTTGAAAGAAAGTCTTTAAGCGCTAGATATTCACCTCCATTGTCTGTGTAAAGAGATACAATTTTGGTGTGAAAACGGTTTTCGACAATGGGTTTAAAACGAATAAAGACATCGTAGACCGAGGATTTCCGTTTGATTGGATAAAACCAAGTGTACCGAGTGAAGTGGTCAACAAATATCACATAATACTTGTAACCATCAAATGATTCAATTGGTGATGTCCAAACATCGGAATAAATGATTTCAAGAGGTTTGGATGAGACAACGGTTGAATGCGAAAAAGGTAGCTTGTGGCTTTTATTGATAGAACAAGAGTTGCAAAACAATGACTTACTCGACGGATTTGACAATGGGAGAGATAACCCGGAGATTATTTGACGTAAAATATTAAAGGATGGATGACCTAGCCTAGAGTGCCACTTGGACAAAGTGGTCTTGATGGTAGAAAAGACGGAGATGGCGGTAGGAGTTTGGACAGACTTATTGGTGGTCGGGTTCGGCCATTCGTACACGCCGTTTCTAGTTGGACCGCTTGTTATTTGTGCCCCCGTATTGAGATCGTTCACCTGAAAAGAATAAGGGAAAAATTCGATAGAAACATCATTAGCATGACAGAGTTTTTGGACAGATATGAGATTCTTATGTATTGTGGGGACATGTAAAACGTTATTAAGTGAAAGAGGGCGAGATAGGGAAGGAAGTGACATAGAACCCGTATGTGCGATCGAAAGGTCTGATCCGTCACCGATCACAACATCATCTCCGCCGGCATATGGAGCATGGAGGGAGAGATTTGCGAGGTCGGTGGTGACATGATGCGAAGCACCTGAATCAAGAAGCCAAGCCGGAGAGTGTGCACCAACCGTAGCAGCATTGACCATCAGGGCTGAGTTTGATGGTCCGGAGGACGAAGGTTGGCCATAGGGAGACGGCTGATGGTACGAGCCAGACCCGAACATGTTCGAGCCAGAACCATGAGAGGATGACTGGGTCAGCAGATTC